GTCCAAGACATGAAGAGGTCTCTTTCAAATTCGCTTATGCCGCCAAGATTTTCCAAAGTTGAAATAAAATAAAAGCCACGCAGGTGAAGATTGGAAAAAAAACAAAGCTGAGGCGTATGTGGATCGAGTTCTTCGTGGGAAGGGGGGTCGGTGAGACACAATTGGCTCTAGGATTGGTGGTGGTGGTTCGACGAGACGACTACCGTGCAAGTTAAGCATCACCAGATCAACCAATTCGCCCCCCCAATTCCTCAGAACCCAGAAGCTTACTCAGTCCAGACCGCCGAAAACCTCAGCCCAGACCGCCTCAACACTGTGCATCGGTTCTTCCTGCTTGGGGCAAGGGTAAAGTATTGGGACAAGTAGGGGATTTTTTGAGCGAGCGAATCAATGGCGGATTCATGCAAGCCTCCAAGCAGTTCTTACCAGATATTACTTAAGGTTGTTCCAATACTCTACCCCTACCCGCCACTACGGTGCCAGTACCGTACTAGAGAACTCGAGAACTTTACGCCCTACACCTCCGGCAGTTACCGGACGAATGGGGGTTCGTAACTTGATGAGAGGTTCATTACCAAGAGAGGAGAATTGCACCTGGGCTTGCGTTTGACTCGATCAGATGTTATGATAGCATACTCGTACTCGAGTAAATAGCCTTCTTGCCTAGAAGACGGTATTTTCCAGGGGATGATCACATAAGGGTTGTACTGTACTATCCTTTAGGCACCATACCGCATTATTTGGTTTAACTGGATTTGGTTTAACTGGAAATGGTGCTAAGGCTCAGGGATCCACATGTGTCACAAAAAGAGGGGGTGGCAAACTGAGTGAATATCAAGACAGAGGTGAGTGATAGACTCTGACAGCATATGCAGCCGGTGTATGGGAATATTTTGGCAATCTTGCCGAAAGGTGCAAGTTCCCCTACTTGACATTTATCTAATATAGGGTGAAATTGGTGGGTAGTTTACCGGGCATGAGTATTCTCTTTACAATCCCGGTCAATATATTCTACTACTATATGGGAGGACTCATTATCTACTGGCCCGGGCAATCCAGAATACAAAGCCAGAAGTTCCTCATTCCCTTTCCAAGTGATCCTGTTCATCTTCTCTCCAGTTGCCAATCTGCAGAAGTGAAAAAATCTAGTATGCCTTTGATTGATAGCTCATTATTACATGAGCCATCAATGGGAAGTGTTAGTCCTAGTTTGCAAAGTGTAAAACTAACTAACTCCTTATAGTCTTGGCCAATACTAGTAAACAGGTCCCAAGCCTAGCCTATGCAGCTTCAAGTTGAAGTTTCTTCACTAAATCGCCTTACATGAATCAGTCAAGGTTGAAGTAAAGATGAGTAATCTGGGGTTGTGGGCTGGGGTGACCTGTTGAACCTCACTTCCTTTTCCTCATTTCCACCTTAGACACATTCCCAGTTAAACCAAATAATGCGGCACTCGAGATAATTACTTTTTATCAATTTAAATCAATTGTTTTATAATTTTAACGTGGAGGGGAACTAAACTAGTCTACCGGTATCTCTAGATTATCGTTTTTTTATTGTGCCACTTCAAACATGTTTTCCTGCTGACCACCAAACAAGCCAATATGCATGTTCTTAGAAAACCGCCGCTCCCACATGGTTCATTCCATCCAAAACGTGCACCAGGCCGCAATTTATATGGATCCACCGAATTAAAACATCGATTTTTTTTAAAAAATGTCTACATTATTCTCCTTAGCATCCCGATATCAACAATCTGGAGGATTTCTTTTAAGTCAATATTTTAACTAAGTTAGGTGGAGTCGTATAATCGATTGAAAAGTTGCAGCCTGGTGTGCTTTTTGAATGGCACGAACCATAATTATTATTATATTCATTTTTTTCCGTCGTCCAACCAAACAGTTAATTATATTTCCCAAATACAACAAATATTTACTTCTGAGTATATCGGCATACCATTTCCCGCTATTATTGCGATATATTTACATTGGATCACACCGAACAGTACAGTACCTTAGCCCCAGGCGCGTATATGCGCTTTCGGTGTGTGGTGGTAGACTGTAGCTCGCTGCGCTTTGGGATAGGTAAATAGCAGAAAGCAGAAGAGAAGCACTCTAGAAGCAGCTAGATCAACTGACCGACTGTGTGCCTAATCACCTGGACATATCAAGGAAATAAACGACCCTTTAGAGTCCCCCCCTCCCTCACACTTCTAGTACAGAGCGCAAGTTCGGAGATGTAAACCCCACCAACGTGTAACCAAAGAAAACTTACTATCATAAATATGATAGGCCGGGACAGAGCAGATTCCGGGTCAGCCCGAGAAAAGAAACAGAAATAACACTCAACAGTTTGAGGGCATTGAGCGATGGGCATTAATATTTCGCTAAAAGCCACCCTAGGGGAAATTAAATATCAACTGGGAGCGATATCCCTGAAGTTAAAGGTATTGGATGCGGAACTCGTGTATTCCAGGCCACTGATGCACCGCTCTCTACTGGTACAGTACCGCAGTCAAACCGCCTTTCGATTATTACACCCAAGATTCAAGTAGAAAAGACGCTAACTACTATCAAGTAAAATGGGTCCGACCCTTCAATAGGTAGAAAGCCTCATCACTGCTCTCACAAGTGTTCTTATATGCCCAATAAGTAGAGTTCAATCTGGGAAACCCGTGTCACACTCGCTCCGCCACGCGGTGTTGATCATTTCTACAGTGCAGCTACCGGTACTCGGAAATCACACCTCCCCCACCTTATATCCCCTCACCCCAGTCAATTCCCCACCACCTCCTCCTCACCCCATCCAGGCAAAAAGCCACCCGCCGCCACCCCGTCTCCAACACCGCCGCAACAACATTATGCCCGCCAAGGTTCGCCCAGTCGGTCCCCCATCCCCACATCTCAAAAAAGGTCAGAAAACTCAGTAGGATAACTATCATACCTTGCCACATACTAGCACAGTACAAAACGTAGCTTAATAATATGAAACAGCATTCAAATACCGGTACCTACAAGTTGCTTGTGGATTAATTAAAGCGCTATCAAGAGGGGTATGGATGTGATGAGTTGGGCTATTAGGTAGCCAATCTAGTTTTCACTGTTCGGGAGCGCCATGTTGGGGAAACCTCCTGTGAGTATTACACCGAAGCCGGACGGTATGCAGGAACCTCTGCTGTGGAGAGGCTAGTATATACTGGTAGGTGGGAAGAGGGATGGGCGGAAGTATTAACAAACTGAAGAGAAACCCCGTATTGGTTCTGCTGTTCTAGAAATTGTAGGTAGTCGAGGCGACAGTGTAGAAGAACCTGGTTGGCACTTTGATACATGAATAACCAGGAATCTCAGATAGATACACACCCCATCAGTAAGGTTTAATTACCTAAGAGTAGTAATCACTAACCATCACACAGGTAGTTCTATAGAGCTATCGTCCCACCAGGGGACGCTAAAAATTACGAATGAAAACCGTCAAGACCGCACACCTAATCACTCGTCTCTGCTCCACAAGACCACGGGTAAAGATACCGGTACCGCAGTGAGCAGTAAATTTGGGTCAACCCCCAAAACAATCCCTGCCCCACGCGAAAACATCTCCCCCGGCACCCCTCCCAGTGCCCCTCTCCCCCCATTATACTCGCGTAGCATCATTATACCAGTGTTCACCAACACCCCACACTGAACTTTAACGGAGCGGGTGCCTGAAGAGCCCGGTCAGGAGACGAAACGGGAGTCTCTTTTCCAATACGCCACTAGGTGGCAATGCTAAACACCAAAAAGAAAAGCCCCTGTCTCAACGGCTCATCGCCTCCTTTGAGTATCGATACTGGTACTGTACTAGTACGAGTACCTTCGCCATTATCCCCGGGTGAATGGGGGGCCACTGATTCACTCACCGTTGCCAGTGCGCAATAACAATACCGTACATTCTACTCGTACAGCAAGGGCGAATATCCCACAGGGACCCTTTCGTGTAAGCTAATTGGTGATACCAACCATGATCCCGAATGGGGATGTACCGTAGCGAGGTTGTGGGGCCGCCTGAGCTACGGTAAGTACCGTAAGTAGTCTACGAGTACCGCCGGTACCCGTAGGAACCGGCAGAGAGAATGGGGGGGCACTTGCACTTTGTACTGTACTACCGGTAGTACTGGTACATTAGGTTTGGTGAGGGACTCTGTGCGGAAAAGACGGACATTCGTTTTAGCTTTGTAGTAGTACAGTACAGTACTGTATATTAATTTGTCAAGAGCGGAATTTTTACAGGTTAATATCTTGAAAAATCTATTAATAGTGATTGCCAAGAATATTAACAGTAATTAACATGCCCCGGACATTCCCTACCCCCACCGAAATTTTAACCTACTTTCAAATAGCTCTAGGAAAAGTCAATCAGAGTGGTGGACACCCTGTGGGAATTGAAGATGATCAATATTTTCTTGGCAAAGTACTCTGTCTACAGAATTCCCTCAGAATAACCAAGGGGCGGGAGGGAGGGAAGGGAATTCCTAGGGTATTTGCTCCTCCGCGGCAAAGAGGTTTCAGACGGACAAATTTTTTCAGTGATCACCGTATTATCGTGTTGTGTTAAAATAAGGTATGGTAGCTTCAAAACTATCTAATATATTGGGCAGAAACAAAACATTACTTCCGAAGTGCCCACACCAAACTGAATACGAAGGGCACCTTATCCCTTCTCTAATCCAATTTTTCGAGAAAATACACCGAGGACCGTAATCCCCTTCACGGCCCACTTCTCCAAAGGCTACCATTGCCTCCCGTGTTCCAAACTTCTATGAAAGTTCCATGCGCATTCCCCCGTCCGTGCGCGTGGGGGAAAAGGTTTCCTAAAGAAAAAAAAAATCCCCCACACTAAGACCTAGATCACGTGTTTTGAAAATTTGCCCTGGCTTCGTGCCCCAAACGAGCGCCGCCGTAGGGGAGCTTTGAATACAATATTTCTTCTTTTCCTCTCAACCACCCGACCACTCACACGTCGCCAACAAATATTTCGTGATTTCCCAGCAGGCTGGTTAGAATTACTTTCCCCACATTCATTCAATCACTTCATCTATCGATATCTGTCTTTTCGTCGTATCACAAATAGCCCGTCATCCCATGCCCTTGCTAGAAGAGAAGAAATGGCTCCATCTGCAAACAGCGCCTTGAATTGTGAGCTTTTCCTGCTTCCTCGCCCCCCCAGTCTTTCCACTAACAAGAGGCGAAATTGGGGGGAAAAAGCAGTAGGGCACAGCCCTCCTCGTGCCCCACCAATTTCCGCGAACATTGACGCCGACCTTCGCCGCCACGACTGCCTGCGCAAGTCTCCCTGTATATTCTATGGTATCCCAATAGACGAGAAAGCTACCGTCGCAGAACTGCATGCTTCACTAGACAGCGCAGCGGATAAGCGGGGCGGACTGAGCGTGGTGGAGGAAATTCCGGAGGACGCGGCAGAATCCAGGAGGAAAACAAATGAGAGGGTTCAGGAAGCGGATGCCGCAGTTCGGGGCGTAGCATCAGTAGGGGGTAAAGATGCAAGTGGAAAGGAACCAGCGAGTGGGAGTGTTAAAGAGGGGGGGAAGGGGAAAGGGAAAAAACAGGCCGAGAAGGATCGGGACGTTCTCAAAGTCGTCAAGTCCGGACCGAAAGTCGGGAAGAAGGCTGTCAAGAAGGTTATCACGAAAAGCACTGGCTCCAAAACAGTCAAAGTTTGCAAGAAGAAAGTTCCGAAAACCGAAGTTGCACCTCCGCCACCTCCCCCGCCCGAGGAGATTCCAGATCTAGACCCTTACGAGGGCGAGCCGATGATGTGGCCGATGGAGATGGATTTTGACGAAAGCTATTCTTAATTCTGGCGCCCTGTCTTCTTTTCTTCTTTTCCTCTTTTCTTCATTTCTTCAGTTCTATTCTGCTCTAGTCCCTCTTTTGGAAATTTATTCTCCTTTTAATCGCATTGCGGTTGAGCGTGGATTGGACATAGCAACAAAAATTCAGTCATTATGGAGTTTCTTTTGTCAAGGATTTGATTTTTTTGGTTGGTTAATAGTTGCATTCAAATCTCGCACATAACTTCTTGTGTGAGCTCCTGGTTTAATATAATGTGGTATTTGAGATCTATCGGTAGTTGTTAGAATTGGTGTCTCAGTATGTGATCTGTTCTCCGAGAACACTGGACAACTTTTGTTCGGAATATTTTAAACCCTTCAGTATCCTATAGTATAGCAAAATTTATTCGCCATCCTCTCGGTCCAGATCTCCTCGCACACATGTATTACAGCGTGGGATCATTTCCACTACTCTCTCCCTCCATGAGAGTAGCCTACTGTAGGGCGCATATGGGACCTTGTCTCGTGACTCGAGTTGAGGTTCAGGAGGAACAAACAGATATAACCAGCGCTGGCCAAGCGGAGTAGGCGTCATAAACTATGGGAGGTACAAGATGACCGGACCAATTAGTTCCATACAAACAGCTCATAAATTTAGTTCTACAGATTTTCCCCCGGTCACTATTTCTGCTGGTTAACAGCCACGACTGCATCCTAAAAGTGGCTGTGGGTATGATAATTACGTCCTTAGCAATAAATGTATTCCTGATAATATCCTCGCAAGGAAACATCGGGCTCGGAACAAAGAAACTACCCAACCAAGCACGAATGTTAACCTCCACCGATACAACGAGACTAGGGCTAGCAAGAGTGTTACTAAAAGCATGACTTCTTGCAATTTCCCATACTGTTGTAGAGCTTTAGTATGGCCTGATAATGTAATAACGAAGGCACCCTACCAGAACTGGTGCAATTTAATAGTTTTATATAAAATTTGATGGTGGACTATTCAACTGGGAAGTAAGGTGGGTAAGGGTAGAAGTGCCCGTGTGACCTTCCAATATGAGGTATCACAGCAAGCTGCCCGCGGCCCCTATATCCGATACCCTAGCATCGACGTTTTTTTCTGCGACGCGTTCATCCTGTCTAAACTACGATGCCCCATGTTTTCAGGGTAATCATTAGCAGTTTTGTCTGACAGCAAGCACAAATGCAGATGCCATCGCCTGATTCTTGGTCCACGCCGTTGAATGGGGTACAATGCTTTTGCGATAACTTGCGTGTTGTCGCTTCTGTGTTAGTACCTCCTAACCGGTTCGGCACGGCTGAGCCGAATCAGTGTGTCCAAGTAGTTATTCTTGCGTATCCCGTAATTTCCAAAGTTCCATGCGTCCCCTGAAGAGTTGTGCTGCGAGGAGTGATCGGTTATGTTTCTGGAGTTTGCAACTATCGATGCTCAGGATAACAGGAATTGGAACACCCGCTCAGATAAAATGCAAGTGTGAATTCAAGGGAGAATTTAGTACGACATGGTCTACTAGGCTGGTAACTATAAGGAGCAGGTATCGCTAGACGAGAGATTGTTTTTCTCTTTGTCGAATTCGCGACCTGCAATCCAGGTCAACACTCTCACCGTCCAGACTACAGCAATCCTTTCACGATCCCAACCCCCCAAGCCTATTTGTAAAAACGTCTTCCCTCTCCATTGTTGAGAGCCCCAAAACCACAACAATGTAATACTTGAGCTTACTTATCAAAACTACAAACCAAAACTGCGGGAAAACCTCTACAAATGCAATACAGTCATGTAAGGTTTCAAATATATTTCAACGTATACCCTAATCTTCTTAACCCGTGTACAGAGTGGTATTCCTAAAGAACACAGAGTAGAAGACTTTTTTTTTATATATGGTTATTGAGTAAGCATGATCCCACATGAAACCTAAAGTTTATAGTAATAGAAATATATTGTAGCTCTTTCACAAATAAGAATAATATTCCAAAATGGAAAACTTGGGAGAATTATTGCAGAACTAAATAACTAAATAAGAACAACTTTTTGAAATTATTAAATACTATTCCAATTACTTAACTCAATTAGCCCCTCCTCTGTTTATCATGACAGGAAACTGGTCCAAATTATCAACTCTAGGATTTGTTACTTAGAGTAGTTCTTCTTTATTCACAAATTTTTTTTTCATCTTCAACTTAGCAAAATTCCTTCAAACTAGACAAAGTAGAACATGATTCTTCATGGATCACTATACTTGAGTAGATCTTAGGATAGCCAGATTTGGATAGGCTTTAAATAGTGAACCACTGCATAACAGGAGCATGTATTTTGCAACAACCTAAGGCCTAGTCGAAAATCCTTTAAATCAACTTGAAATATATAAGATCAGAATTGATAAACTGATTTGTTCTAGAGAAAGTGGATGTACTATAAGATACTAGTAGTTTTATTTTGTAACCGGTACAGGTACTTGGTTAAGGTTTTGTTTTATATTTTGTTTTAAGTATCGCTTTGATCCTTGGTTTGTTTTATGTTTTGTTTTAAGTATTGTTTGATACTTGGTTCTGTTTTATATTTTCTTTTAAGTATTGCTTTGATACTTGGTTTGTTTTAAGTATTGTTTAATACATGGTTTTGTTTTATGTTTTGTTTTAAGTATTGTTTGATACTTGATTTTGTTTTATGTTTTGTTTTAAGTATCGTTTTGATACTTAAGTGGTTTTACCAAAGTGTATTGCTTGATACCTTTGATTGGTTTCACTCATACTAGACATGAACAGATTTATGTACTTAAAGACTGTCTGATTCCATGATAGAAAAGGCAGACTTCAACAGACAGTATTTCAATATACTTGGTTGAACAGTTACTCTTTAAGTTTTCCCAGTACACTCTTTAAAACTTTCTTTAGTTCACAGCTCTTGTCTCCTCTCTGGTAGAGGAGGCCACTTGTCAACTATTGTACCTTACTCCGAAATGTGATAAGCACCTTGTGAGTACATTACATATATACTATGTTATATTGATATTGTATTATAGGCTAATATAATTAATAATGGTATATATCTAGAAAGAAACATAAAAATCTAAAACTTTGGTTATTCAAAACTACTACTATAGAATTTCAATAATTAAGAATCTTGATAGAATGTTGGAATTTTTTCTTCTATTAAAGGCCACTTTATTTTTGTTTTTATTACACTTGTCTGAACTAGTATTAAAAGAAAATTTTCCTGCTATCTTTTCTCCTCCTGACTCAGAGGAGAGAATTTTAAACTCCTTAGATTCATTTCTAGCTTACTTTAGACCATTACAGAATTAACCTATATATATACCAAATTAGTCCAGAAGAGATACAAGTCATATCACATAGTTAGATATGGTTAGCTTTATTACTAGTAGTTTATTGTACAAAGTACTCCAGATATGCATCAAGGCTGTTACATTGTGAAATACCTTATTATCTTATCAGGATATTGAGTTATATGCTAGTAAAATGATATTGAGCAATACAGTATTCAATTCTAATACTACTCTTCTTACTTTATATTTTTTTTAAGTTTAATAACTAACAAATTTGATATGATATTATATAATATTATTTGGAAAATTCTATTTTGAATTTTCTTGAAAATAATTAAAAGTAATAAAAATCCTCAAACTTGATATAAGTTGAACTTGAAATAATTAAAAATTATTGTTTTAGCATATAATCCTATAGATTTGGAAGATAGAAGCATTTCATTATGCAACAGCTTTGATACTATATATTTTACATTAGGAATACTTTGCAGTCAGATTCTATAATTAAGCACATGCAAAGATAAAAAGAATAACTACCAGATTTTCAGTAAAGTCAGCTCAAAGAAAAAGCAGAGAAATAATTAACTATCAGTTTGGACAATATTTATATAAGGAAGACTTGTAGTTTTCTGTTTTTACTTTTTCCCTCTCATCTCTCTTAAGATTTTTTTTTTGCTTGTACCAAATATTATAGTACATATTTTGTACTGAAGTAATAATCATATTATGATTCTATTGTATAATCTAATAAAATAGTAAGTGGGCAGATACCCCCACTGCTTCACTTTCTGATTAAACTATGAGGTGTTGCAGTATACTTTAAGAATGCTGGCGGGGGGCCTGAGCCAAATAAGGGAAGTAGGAGATCTGTATGTTACTTACTGTAATTGTGAAAATAATATTCCCTACAGTTTCTGTGATTGCATTCTAACCTACTGGCAGGTACCCTGTGGTAAATTTATGTTGAGTAAGATAGACCTCTCTCTTCCAAGTTTCACAGTTTTATTTTATTTTTCCTTTTCCCTACTTCCTCAGGCTCACAAAATTCTGAATGAGGCCCATGAATAGGATATGGGAATAGAGCAGCAATATTCAATAACATTAGTCCTCAACATGACATAAACCCTAATTATTATTACAATTACAATCATACTATTATGATGATCATGCTTATTAATCAACCTCTCTCTCCCGAAAAGCCCAATGTGCCGGTATCATACAAGTAACCTATGTAGACACAGCCCGGGAATACAGAAAAAGTAATTCGCCTATACCCCGTTTCTTTCTTTCCTTCCCTAATGGGCTCGTATGCCATAGTCTCAGTTAATC